ATAATATAAAGATCCCGGGTTCATGCCTTGGTCAAGACACTTTTTTTTTTTTTTTATAATTCATCCTCCATAGAACCTATTAGTAAAATTTTATATACTGATAACCAATACGTTATTTATTTATTATTTGAAATTTTACTTCACGTCAAATCCAGATTGATAAATCCACCTGGATTTTCAAAAAAATCCATCTGGAATCCATATGGAAATACAGCCTGGAAATCCATATGAAATCCATATGGAATCCATATGAATCCACCTGGAAATCTACCTGGATATCCATGTGGAAATCCAGCCTGGATTTCCAGCTGGATTTTTTCAATAGGGACACCTCCACCCGTGGAGTGTGTGCGATCTTTGCGGAAGGTTTTGAATCCGGCAAAGTGAAAACTCTTGTTTGCTTCGGAGAGCCATGTCTCAACACAAGCAAAAATGTCAAGTTTCGATAGGGCGTTTATAAGGTCTTCTTGTTTGTTGACAATGCTTCTTGGATTCCAGAACATTAGCCTTAAAGTTTTGACGTTAGTAGAGGTGTTGAGAGTTGTGTTTATTTGAGAGTTGCTATTATTCTTCGAGCTCGCCATTTTTAGAAATTTGTGTATTGAGTTGAGGAGAGTCGCTTTCTGTGTCGAGATCGGATTCCGAGCTGGTGATGTTCATTTTGGAGAGTTTCTTTTTCAGCCTGGTTAGACGCCCTTTTAATGAACTACTATTGATAAGTTTATATACTTCGTCGATAGTATTAATTATGCCTTCTATATTGACCGTAACTGAGAGAGCAATTGAGAGAGCGTTGCTTTGCCCGTAAGTTTTTTCTAAGACACTCTGGAATACATTTATATCGACGGAAGTAGAAATTCGATTTTCTTTGATGGCTTCAATCACGGGTTGTAGATGGTCTTCAACACTAAGGGAGTCAGTAACAGATTTGGGAGGGGTCTTCTTTAGTTTCTTTGGAGAGGGGCTTTTAAATAATTTGGCAGTATTGGCTGCGATAGTGGCTTTGTCAGTGAATACGGTAGTGGGAGTGGCTGGTTGTAGGAAGGATGACTCAGATGAAGAAGTTGTTGAAGGAGGAGGTCTTTTTTGAGCAGGAGAAGATTTGTTGAGGGTAGTAACATTCGGTGCTAAAGTTTTTGTGTTGTCATTCTTAGTCGGCTTGATTTGAACAGCTGGTAGCGTCGTAGAAGAAGTGGTAGGAGTAGTAGCAGTGGTAGATAGACTTGGGCATAGTTTAGCTGAGTGCCCTCTTTGTTTGCAAACAAAGCAGCACATTGAATCGGTACTGAAAGAAATCCAATAGGTAGTGTTGTCGTAGTTGAGTTGTACAGATTCGAGAAGCAAATTTATATCTTCTTCCTTGATATATATCTGTCTTCTGAACGAAAGAATGTGCGACCTTCCTGGTTTAGAGAGACCTGCTCTTATGTGGCTTATGCCCGAGACTGGTGTGATTCCTCTTTCTTTGAGGCAGTTCAATAATAGGTCATGCGGAATTATCGGACAGACATTCGAGATAACTACCCTTTTGTTTTTTCCGATGAGGGGCCTGATTTTGAGATTGGTGTCTTTCACGGTGAATGTTTTATCAGACAAGGTTTCTACTAGGCTGGAGTTGATGAGATAGACACACACTCGATTACCAGAGATTTTGGATATAAACTTTATGTTGCTCGCGTCTGTAAGAGTTGCAAGGCCGTCGATGTAGTCGTCTATTGTGGCGTCTTCGACTGAATCGGTGTGCTGCGGACGAGAGTGCGTGCTCTCTCTCTCTCTCTCTCTCTCTCTCTGTCTCTCTCTTTCTCTCTCTCTCTCTTTCTCTCTCTCTCTTTCTCTCTCTCTCTTTCTCTCTCTCTCTTTCTGTCTCAGGATGACTTGGGACCATTCTCTCTCGTTGAGGGGATATCTTGGCTCTTTCTCATTGGAGGATTATAATTGTATGAGTCTTTGCTAGTATCTGTCGAAGATTTTGTTACCCTAGCCGTTACTGAGAGAATACGAGAGATTACGAACGCAGTCACTCTACTGCTTCTTTCTTGTAACGGTCCTATTTATGAGCTGTTTATTAAATGACTGCAACTAGTCTAACGTATTTATCTGTTAGTCAAAACAATACATTAAGCGGCGCTACCTCACTGTTTACGCGACTGTATACAAATAAGAGTCGAGTCAAAACAAATAGCGTGACGTCACAAATAATAGACATAGATATAATGAACTATAATATTGAGAAAAATATGTTAATTATAGATAATTTGAATATAACAAAGTATCAATTATATAGATTTTAACATACAGATTCACAATATCTCATTCAATCATAAATTTATAACGAATATCGATATGTAAAGTTAATTTATTTATTAACATATGAAATATTAGAAAAATATAAATAATTTATATGTAAAATGAATAAGCATAGAACATGAGTAAGAATTGGTTTCATTAATAACAGCTAAATAACAACTGTTATTAATAAATAAACAACTAATAATTTATTTAAACAATAAACTATATATAGAACGATAATATTAAGTTAATACTTGATAATGACAATTTTAGGATTTAGAAATCTTAGATAATTAATCAAATAATCGCATGTTAAGATTAGAAGAAAACCGTTACAAATATGAAAAATGAGTCATAATTCAAATGTTATTAATTAATTTAAATAATTAATTTTGGAAAATACTTCCAAAATTAATCAACTTTAAGGTTATATGAAATTTTAACAATTTTCTATTGTAAATAATGTAATATCACGTTAATTAACTTTATTAGTTAATAACTTTTGACGACACTATTGGCGATAATTATATATTGTATAAAATCAACAAATAACTAGTTCTGTAAAATTTACATGTGTTAAAAACTTAATATTAATGGTTATTTACTTATAAATGAAGAAAAATCATTTCTCAAAATTCGCGAATGTCTTTCGAATTTTCGATGAAATCTCTCCTGCAATAATAAGCGGGAAAATCTGTGTATAAATAGGCCCACCTTTGCACAGGCTAGATTCATTCACTTCTGGCCTTGCAAAGTGAGCGCATGAGTCTGAATAAACTTGGATTAACACCTAAGTTCTTTCTCTCATTGTGATTTACTAAGCAAGACTAACCTTTCCTTATAATTTGAGCTCGACTTATAGAACATCTCGCGCTATAAGAAACTTGGGCCGAATTATATCCTATCAAAGAAAGACTTTAGCTCTACTTATGGGACAATTCGCACCATAAGAAACTAGGGCATTGTCTGACTTTCCTCGATATTTTGCAATTACTTATATATATTTGATTTACTTGATTATCATATTTGTTTCATTTATCTACTTTCCTGAAATTAGAGTAAAATCATCGGAAACAAATTCTTACTCATTAGCTAAATTACGAGAGTTCGAATTATTTTTATTTATAAGTGATACGAACATCACATTCTTCAGATGATCCTCCTAAATACCCTTGCTAAGAGAAAACCCACAATCATGTTCGTTCAATCTATCTCTTTTATGCACTCTTTCAGATTTAACATCTCTGCTAGGTGAATGGCATGAGCAATGAGTTTATTATTCTACCCTTTTCATACGTAAGTAGTTTTATTGTACTAATTTAAATAATTACACATTACAATCATTTATTCACTTGTTTTATTTATTAGTATTATTTATACATTGAGTAAAGTAAACTTCGTTGATAATATTTTTGTTAAGTATTCGATATAACTATGTCAAAATATTCAGTTGTATTTTTATAAAAATTATATTCATCTGTAAATCATTCGACTACATCTAACCCTTCCGATTCTATTTGTTTTAGCCTTTCCAGCAACCAATCGTATATCTCATTTGCGTATTTAATGCAGCACAGACTTTATTATCGTGATTTTGAGGGCAAGATATTCCCAGGAAGTTATTGGGTTATTACAATTAATCTTACCCTTACCCGATCATTCCTGTGCATAAATGAAGAAAATAATAAATTTGACCTCTACATAACCTTAACCCTTAAGAGAGGGGGGGGGGGGTAACCGCACTCCAAACATAATACCTTATCTAAACGTAGAATTTCCCGCTCTTTCCGAATAACGGATCAAAATTGACTTTGACCTACAAATGACCTAGATAATAAATCTCAAGTTCAAATCTCATTTCGGGGAAAAGTGTCCCTCATTGTCCCAAACAACTTTTGTCTGAACAATTTTTTTGTAGAACTCCAACCGTAGAAAATTTCGGGGTGGTTCCTTTAAAATGGGACACCCTGTATACAGCGTGATTTAAATTTACGACTTAAGTCTTCCCATCGCGGTTATCTCATTTCAATTTCGATATCTACAATTTTTATATAATGGAAAATAAAAATTAAATTTCTAGTTTCGATTATTATTATTACTACGTTAAGCTGTAAGTTACACAGCCTCACAAAAAATAGTTTTCTGTGCACAGAACTAGACCACCATATTCTTGTTTTTGGAGTCACTGACCCTAAATCCGCAGTCTGTTTTTCACCATCATGTCAGGGTCAAGGTTAATTCAAAGTCAAATTCTGAAAAATACGTGTAATCAATGGAAACCGTTACAAGAATCATCACCGTTAAAAATATCAACGACCCCAAAAAAATATAAATATAGTAATGTAGTCCCATGAAGGAATATTTCCGTATTTTCGCAATTGACATATAAATCATTTATATAACCACTGTGATGTATGTTAAAAGGATATAAAGTCGTAATTACGCACGACTGTTAGTAGTTTGAGAGATAGCTAATATAGATAGCTATGGTTGTAGTTGACAAGCTATACCTTAAGGTACCGACTCACTCTCGCGTAGACTCTCACGCCGAACATATGTATTTCCTCCGTACACCTCTACTAATAAATACCATCATCTTCTTTATCCAAAACCTGTTTCATTATTTAACTATATGTAACTGCATATATAACAACTGGCGACGAGGATCAATTCTCGAACTTGCGGTTTTGGTAAAAAAAAGTAACAGTGATATGTTTAGTTGGTTTTACGAATTGAATAAAGATCAAGTTATCGAAGAATTACTAAAAAGAAACATCGAGCACGAGAAAGGCCAGAAACTCGACGATTTAAGGAAGCTGTTAAAAAACGCAATTAGAGAAGAGGCAGAAAAAGCGGCTAAAGTTCAGGTAGAAGAGAAAGCTACAGAAGAGAATTTTGAAGATTGTATTGAAGTAGTCGAGAAAAAAGGAGTTAAAATTGACATTAGTAGTGAGAGTGAAATAGTAAGCGATAGCGACAGCGAAACCACAATGGCTAGTGAAGCAACGAAGCTAGAGTTTTGTCTGGAAAAAGGGGACTGGGACACATTTATTGAACGTTTAGAAAATTATTTCGACGCCAAGGATGTTCCAGAAGCAAAAAGGGTGCCAGTATTTTTGATGAGACTGGATAATGAAGCATATAAGTTGATAAGGGATTTATGTGCGCCAGCAAAGCCGAAAGAAAAGTCTTTCGACGAATTAAAAGATTTGTTTAAGCAACATTTGAATCCGGCACCTTCGGAGGTTATGGAAAGGCATAATTTTCACCAGGCTAGGCAGCAGCAAACAGAGTCAGTGGCAGATTTTGCGGCACGCTTAAAAAAGCTGGCGGTATTTTGTAACTTTAAGGATGTTAAGGAAGCTCTAAGAGACCAATTCGTGTGTGGTTTAAGAGACACCGACACAAAGATAGAATTGTTCAAAAAAAAAGACTTAACGTATGATATCGCAAAATCAGAAGCGCTAGCACGAGAAAGAGCAGTAGAAAATGCTAAAGATTCGATGAAATTACCGGAAGTGACTACAAGTAAAGATCACGTGTATAAATTTAAGCACTTAAAGAAGAATACCGGTATAACAAATAACGGGCAAGATGAAAAAAACCAAAAAAATTTAACATGCTATATTTGCGGAAAAAAAGGTCACATGACATCGCAATGCAAACATAAGGCGAAAGAATGCAATGTTTGTCATCGGAGGGGTCATCTGGCGGCAGTCTGCAAGGAAAAGGGTAAGACAACGGTTAAATTCTTGGAAAAAAAAGCAGATACATCGGCAATGGAAGAAAACAGAGACAAGTGTACGTGCAGCGAGCACGATTTCTTTTCATTGCGCGATTGTAATGATAATCCTGTAAATCAATTATATAATATTCAAGCGGAGCCGATGAGGCTAAAATTGAAAATAAACAATAAGATAGTCGAATTCGAGATAGACACCGGCACGTATGAAACAGTAATGTCAAAGATAACAAAAGATAAATTTTTCGGAGATATTAAACTGGTCGAGCAGAAAAGGAATTTATTTTGTTACGACGATAGAGTAATAAAACCGTTGGGCTCACTAGAGAACTTGAAAGTCGTATTCAATAACAAGAATTTCAAGTTGAGTTGTTTTGTTTTCAAGGGTACTGGTCCACCGCTCATAGGCAGGCGTTGGTTAGCAATGTTTGGATTGTGGCCTCTGAGAGAATTTTCGAATTTTTCAATGTTTAATATTAATTCGGTCGAAAGTTTGATAACTAACGAATTTAAAATTTTATTTGGAAACACACCGGGGTGTTTCAATAAAGAAGAGTTAAACATACATTTAAAAGAAAATACAACGTCGACGGCTTTGAAGACAAGACACGTACCATATGCGATGAAAAAGCTAATAGAGCAAGAATTAGATAGACTAAACCGTCTAGGACACATTATATCGGTAGAAGTTAGCGAATGGGCTACACCCATCGTACCGATAGTAAAGAAAAACGGAACGGTCAGAATATGTGGCGATTTTAAATTAACATTGAACCCGAGCGTTATCGTTAATAAAAATCCGTTGCCGCGTATCGAAGATATTTTTGCTGCGATGCAAGGTGGCGAAAAATTCTCCGAACTCGATATGCCGCACGCGTATATGCAAATACCGGTAAAAAAAGAGTGTCAACAGTTTTTAACAATAACAACGCACCAAGGATTATATAGATATACGAAAATGCCAGAAGGAGTTTCGACCTGCCCGGGTGAATTTCAAGGTATTATGGAAAATATTATAAGAGGTATTCCGAATACGATTTCGTACCTGGATAATATTTACGTAACAGGTAGTAATGATATCGAGCATTTAGCAAATTTAAAAGAAGTTTGTAAAAGAATGGAAAACGCCGGTTTAAGAATTAACAAAGAAAAATGTAATTTCATGAAAGATAAAATTGATATCCTAGGGCATGTTATCGACAAAAATGGTTTGCACAAGGCATACTCTAAAGTGAAAGCGGTTTTAGAAGCGCCGCAGCCTGAAAATAAAAAACAAATACAATCATTCTTAGGATTAGTAAATTTTTATGCAAAATTTTTGCCAAATCGTGCTAATAAATTAAAAAATTTATACGAATGCGCCGGTAAAGAAAAATTCGTATGGTTAAAAAAATGCGAGGAAGAGTTTAAGTGGGTAAAAAAAGAAATAGTTTCACCAACTATATTAGCACATTATGATCAAAAGAAAGAACTAATTTTAGCATGTGATGCTTCGGTTTACGGTCTATCAGCAGTGCTCTCGCATAAATTCGACGATGGCACTGAACGTCCGATTGCTTTTGCCTCAAAGAAAATACCAGAAAAAGAAAATAGCAGAGCGATTATAGACAAAGAGGCGGCAGCAATCGTTTTCGGGTTTAAACGATTCTATGACTATATTTTCGGAAGAGAAATTACGTTGAGAACAGACCACAAGCCTTTGAAATTTATTTTCGGCTCAAAAACAGGTATCCCTCTTACAGCAGCTAACAGACTGCAAAGATGGGCATATTTTCTATCAGGTTTTAAATATAATATTGAGTATATTAAATCACAACAAAACGGGAACTGTGATGCCTTGTCAAGGTTACCGATAGAAGACGATACAGATATTTTTGAGAGTGATTTTACGCCGCTGTATTATATACAAGAAGGTTTAGAAAATGTAAATATTAAACTTGTAGCGAACGAAACCGAAAAAGCGGTATTATTAAATAAAATTAAAAATTTTGTAATCAATGGTTGGCCAAAGAACACAGATATACTATCGCAAGACGAAACAATATTTTTCAATAAACGTCTAGAAATTTCGGTAGATAATGGTTGTCTTTTATGGGGGCATCGTTTAATTATACCGGAAGGATTAAGACCGAATATCTTAAAGGAACTTCACAAATCGCATTTGGGAATTGTAAAAATTAAAACACTAGCAAGATCGTATATCTGGTGGCCAGGCATTGATGCTGATATCGAATTTATGGTAAATTCATGTGTAACGTGTATGCAAGACCGAAAGAATCCGCCTAAAACACAGTTAACACCATGGCCATGGCCCGAAAAACCATGGAGTAGAGTACATCTAGATTTTCTTGGCCCATTTTATAATAAAATGTTGCTAGTCGTGATAGACGCGCACTCAAAATGGCCAGAGATTATAGATTTTAAGACGGACACAACTGCGGAAAAATTAATTTGTAGTATGAGAAAAATTTTTGCGAGATATGGATTACCGGAACATATCGTTTCCGATAACGGTAGACAATTTGTAAGCGAAAAATTTAAAAAATTTTTGTCAGAATTAGGTATTAAACAATCTTTTTCTCCACCGTATCATCCAGCGACTAACGGTGCAGCTGAAAATTTCGTCGGTATTTTTAAAGACAAAATAAATAAAATTGTAAAAGGAGGAAGAGGATTGGATGAAGCAATAGATATTTTCCTGTTCGATTACAGAAGTATCTCGCACTGCACTACAGGCAAAAGCCCTGCATTTTTAATGTATAAACGGCAGCTACGAACGCCTTTTGATAAGTTGCGTCCGAGCGCAGACGTCACAGTCAAAGTAAAGCAAGAGGCGCAAATAAGGAATTGTAGCGGTTCTCGAAACCCTGCACTAAATGTTGGCGATACCGTTTTGGCAGATGTGTACAATGCCGGTAATAAAAAACGTGTACCGGCAGAAATTGTAGAACGCTTAACGCCGTCGACATTTAAGGTCAAAATTGACGACAAAATGCATAAGCGTCACTGCGATCAACTGATTGATTGTAAAGCTGATTTAGCCGTAAGACGTTCCGAGCGTTTGGCGTCAAAAAGCGCAGAAAACAAATACTTAAAGCGGGAGGAGTTGTGATGTATGTTAAAAGGGTATAAAGTCGTAATTACGCACGACTGTTAGTAGTTTGAGAGATAGCTAATATAGATAGCTATGGTTGTAGTTGACAAGCTATACCTTAAGGTACCGACTCACTCTCGCGTAGACTCTCACGCCGAACATATGTATTTCCTCCGTACACCTCTACTAATAAATACCATCATCTTCTTTATCCAAAACCTGTTTCATTATTTAACTATATGTAACTGCATATATAACAACCACATAAAGCGTCCTTCAAATAATCTGAGGTCATGATAAAAAATAAATTCAAATACATATCTGTACGTAAAATTTTCCGTTCTTTCAGAATCTGCAGCCAAAAATTTATTTTTGAATAGACATATTTGTCTGTCATGGTTTTTCTCCCGTTACCGGAGAACAGGACTAAGCTAGTTAAACACTCATTTTCTCGACGCTCTCACCCTCATTTTTTCTCCGAAAACTTTCACTTTTCGCTCCCTTCGCTAACGAAAATAGAATAGAATGGTGATTTTATTGGCTTATATGAAATATACATTGCCATGTTACATGAAGGTAAGCCTTAAAGAAGGCGCGAAGTTCAACTTATACTATATTGTACAAAGGATATATCTTAACTTATTTTATATTTTACATTTAATACTAACAATGAATTGCGAAATACATTGAATCAAATCAAGATTTTTTCTGATAATAAAGATATTATGGAGAAGAGCCCGTATTTGTGTATACGTCTAATCTCTTTAAGAAGAACAGTTCTTTGTTTATTATATAAGGCACATTCCCAAAAAATGTGTTCAATAGAATCATCAGACTGACCACATTGATACAAGCTACTTAATACAATGTTCTTTCTAAACAGACTCAAGTTTAGGGAGGTGTGGTTAGATTTAATCCTGTTAATGGAAACTATTGCTTTGCGTGGCAGACCTAGATCAAAGAACCAAGGTTTACTGTCAGCTGTATACAAGTTTTCAAAGAAAAAAGAACCTTTTGAGGAACTTAGGCTCATTATTATATTTTCATTCTCTTCTTTGCATATATTTTTAGGAATATATAGAAAATCAGACATTGGAACTGGTTCATTGATTAGGGGGCCATTTTTGGCTACAGCTTTAGCTTTAAGATCAACAACTTCATTGCCATGGATACCTACGTGAGCAAGAACCCATGCAAATTTTATTAGAATGTTTTTATCGCGCGCTTGTGCTAATTTACATCTAAGATTAATGATTAATACTGAATCACATGAATAAGACATTAAAGTTTTAAGAACACTTTCTGAGTCTGAAAAAATGATATAGTTGCCGGACCCTTTATCAATAATTTTTTCTACAACCAATAAGAGATCTGTACATTAAGCTGTAAAAATTGATGCTGAATCCAAAATTCCATATTCAAAGCATAGATCTTGACATTTGTTCCAAGCAGCAAAGCCGACACATGTCTTACTGTTTTCTGTAATTTTGGATCCGTCAGTAAACACAAATGTACAATCAGAGTTTTCAGGAAATAAAGTGTTAAACTGATCATTAGGCGATTTACAGCTATTAATTTTCTTACCCTCATCTAAAAGAATTGAAGGCGTGTACAGGAGATAGTTAAAATCTTTGAGATATTTGATATGCTTATTTGAACTGATCAATGAATCTTTGAGAAACCAAACTTTTTCATAACATTCAGCCATAAGGGAGCTAGAAAAATTATTCGCAGAGATAAAATAATCATTTAACTGAATAATCTCTTCTAGATTATTTATAATTTGATACTGATTATAGGCCATACATTTAAGAATATATTTAAAACAGTTCAGCTTAAATCTGCATTGTAAATACGGAGTTTTGGATTCAGCAACCAAAACATTGATTGGAGTACTGGTTCTGTAGCCCATCGCAATTCTTATGGCCGAATTCTGGATTTTTTGCAATCTTAAAATATATTTGTCATTGCATGGTGATATAATAAAACCTCCATATTCAATCTTAGATCTAATTAACGCTATGTACAACAACAACAAAGACCTCGGGTCAGCGCCCCACCAGGTAGATCGCAAAAAGCTGAGAACTTTCAATTTGAATAAACAGCTATTAGCTAATTTCTTGGTATGTGAATTCCAATTAAGGCGACGATCTAACGTTAATCCTAAGAACTTAACTTCTTCAGAGAGAGTAATTCTATGATTATCTATAATGATAAAGGCAGACTTATCAATACGCTTCATTGAGTTGTCGAAAGTCATGAGTACGCATTTTTCCGGCGCAAATTCTAATCCTCTGGATTTTAGCAAAGTTGAAATTTTGTTACACCCAACTTCTAGTGTAGATAACTGCTCAATATGGCTAATTTTGTTATTATTATAAATTACTATATCGTCCGCAAATTCTAGAATAGACAAAATGTCGCATACAATTCGGTAAATCATTCTCGTATAAATCGCATACAGAAGTGGAATAAGCACACTCCCTTGTGGAAGACCCTTATTGACAATTTTTTCAATAATTTTTGTTAATGTACAAAACGTGACTTTGCGTTAAAAATAACATTTTTAATAAAGCTAATCATTTTTTTAGGTAACTTCAATTCAATAAGATCGTCAATCAAAATGTCAGAAATAACATCATTGTAAACACCTTTGATATCTAAGAAAAGGGCATAATTTTCAAAATATTCGAGGCCAACGATATGGGTCTAACTTTGCAAGAGTTTCCTTTAGGAATAAAAATAACTAAATAGTCACTCCAGTCTTGTGGAAAATGTTGACACTCATAAATATCATTATATATATCCAATAAGACTCTTTGATAAAATTCTGGAAGATTAATAATGATCTCATAGCTAATTTTGTCTAAGCCTGGGCCAGATTTAGCCTTGACATTGTTCAGAACACATTGTAGTTCATCAAATGAGAACGGGCTGTTTAAAAGGTCAAATTCTTCACATTTATTATCTGAATCATTAAGATTTTCTAGATTATTTAAAGCATTAGTACTAATTTTCTTTGGCGAACTTAATTCCTGGATAGAACTACACATATGTTGTTCAGTTTTCGAATTACCAGAAATATCACAAGGCTCTTTAAAACTATTATTATAAATTGTCGTTGTTCTACAGAAGTCTTGGAATTTTGTTTTAGGATTAACACTTTCACAAAATGAAATGAATGATTTTTGCTTTTCATCTCTTAAAGTTTTAGTACTAAAAGCATCTAACCTTTTAACTTCAATAAACCTTTGCATAGTAAAACTACATTTGATAGATTTAAGAGCTGCTTTTCTACATCTAACTACCTTATTGCAAGAATCATTCCACCAAATACATTTGGATTTATTTTTACCATTGTTAACATTAAGAGACACTTTTGAGTCGTTATGACGTTTCTGTTTTTGTGGAAGGGAATCAAGAATTGCCTCGTTCAAAAATTCAATAAAAACTGTGTATCTAGAGATTACATCTTGGTTGCTAAATGCAATACTATTAAAATACGATTGATTATATGTGAGCTTATTTAAAAAGATATCCCAGTTCAGTTTTTTCAAATTATATCTATAATTAACCCTGTGTATGTAAAGAGGTTTCATGTTAAATTCAATCGAAATTGGATAATGATCACTATTCCAACTATCATCAAGAACTTGCCAATTGTACTTAGCGAATAATTCTGGGGAGCAAAAAGTTAAATCAATACAAGACTCTGAATAGCCAGAATAATTCAAGGTAAAATGAGTGAGACTTTTGTCATTTAATATCACAACCTTATCAAAATCTAGATTATCAACAATAATATTTCCATTAGGATAATCAGTATTGCTGCCCCAAAGGGGATGATGAGCATTCAAATCTCCAGCAATTAGAAAATATTTTGCATCAAAGTTTAAGTTTGAATCCAAGAAGTCAATCCACTCATCTTGATTCAAATTATTATTAGATTCGTTAACCCTTTGAGGTCTATAGCAAGATGTAATTAGCACGTTACCTGATTCTAGTTTGACAATTACTGAGCCTGCCTCAAGAATATTTCCTGAATAACCAACATTGCACACCTCAAAAATTAAGTACATTTTAAGGCAGATAGCTAGGCCACCACCTTCTCCTGATAATCTATCGAATCTTATCACATTAAATCCTTTAAGATTAAAAGATTTTTTTTATTCAGCCAAGTTTCGACCAAAATGATAATATCATATTTAAAAGCTACATTATGTAAACATAACTTTTTAGTAACGCTACGGCAATTCCATTGTAAAATATTTAAATTTTGATGAAAATTATACATATTGAAAATTTAATAGAATTAAATCCAATTACTAAAAGCAATAAATACAATAAAATTTAAATAGGATCTATTTAACCTAAGCCTTATGTTTATTTGCAGTATCGTTGCCTGAACCTTTAGTATTTATTCTAACTTTACCACTATTTACATTTGCAAATTTCTCCAACAATTTTTCTGTGACACTTTCATACTGATTCAACGGGATCCTGGTATAGTCCTTGGGCTTCCTAGTTGGTTGTGTAGACTGACAGGAGGCAGACTTATTTTCTTTCTTTTCTTTTTCTTTCTTCTCATTTTCTTGATTGTTCTTTTCCATATTGATCTTAGAATTTGTAGATATCCCCTGACTAGGCAAAGACTGATGGTTGATAATAGGAGGAGTAGAATTGGTCTTCTGCGTATAAGACACTCCAGTTGTCTTATTTAACTTGGGTTAAGTATTACTTTTCCAATTGGGAAATGATTCAATAGTATTCAACGGTGCTTGACCTGAACCAAATACTAACTGTTTTGCTTCAAAATATGATAAATTTTCGAATGCCATTTTTTCGTTGACTATAGTATTCATTTTGTAAATTCTACAACTTTTGTCAATGGATTTATGCCACTCTTTGCAATTACAGCATCTTAGAGTGAGGCCAATGGAGGGAGAACCAATGTGCTGAAATTCACCGCACATAGAGCATTTAGTTTTACCACGGTAGTTTTTAGCCATATGGCCAAACTTGAAACAATTTAGGCACTGCAGAGTTTTCCTAACATATGGAGATACTTTGGCAATGACATGAAATATCACTATTTCTTTGGGCAATACATCACTTTCAAAATCAATCAAAATAGACGTAGTAGGAACCCACGTTGTATCGCTTTCTGGTGTTAACTTCATTCTTCTATTCAACCTTGTGATCTTACTGGTGATGACATCACTTTGAATGCCCACTTTTAAGTCATCTAAATCGATATCTACAGGAATGCCTTTGATCACGCCTTTGCGCGTTTTCTTGAATTCTGGAATGAAGGTAGTTAGACCTTTATCTACAAAGCATTTGTCAGATAGAGCACGATTAGCCTCATCCCTGTCTTTGAAGATGATAATACCTTTCGATCTACCGTCTGTTTTAACTGGAACGAATTAAAATGACCGTGAACAGCCATTCCAATTTTAAAAATACTGAAAGGTTTAGCATCACTAGAATTTTCATGTTTTACCCATACGTAGTATGGACCTTTATGAATACTACTATATCTTTCATTCCGGCGCAGAACGTTGTACGGTGTAGACGTGTTTACAATCACTCTCCCGACTTCTGATTACGCGTGTGTAGTGGCCTATTGGCCAATGCTCTCCCTTGGAGCTGAAGTGTGTCGATTTGATCACAACTGTCGCTGTACATAAAACTAGTGATAAGAAAGGGTGATACCCGTTGGTGACTCCGTCAAGAGCCCCAACCAGCCAAATCATGGCGCTCTGCGCCATTCCAAACGCCTCACAGTCACCAACATTCTCGAGTATTGTTCAGCAAGAAAGAGTTTTGTCCCGAGAGCAAGCTATTGTCGTTGACTCCATCGAAGGAAAAACCATTGAACAGTATGCTATAGCTCTTTCAAAAGTTGTTCCACCTAAAGATATTTTGTACATCTCAAGAATCAGCCAAAATCGCGTGTGCTTCTACCTGAGCAAATCGGAAATAGTCGACACATTGGTTGAAAAGAAAACTGAAGTTAAAATCGAAGATCTTTCTCTGCAAATTAGACCACTAACTTCGAAAGCGAAACGAGTCCTCATCTCTAACGTCCAGCCCTGCATTCCTAATGCTCTCATCACTCAAGAATTCGAGAAAATAGGCATCACTCCCGCCTCGCAAATCACAACTGTCAAAGCTGGTATACATGTGCCTGAATTGGGTCACTTACTGAGTTTTCGCAAACAATTATACGTCAAGCAAGAAGACATCTCAAAAATTCCAACGAATTTAAAGATTGTCCATGAGAGTGTAAACTACTGGATTTACTTTTCTACTGAAAAAATGATGTGCTTTCAGTGTAAGAAAGAAGGTCATCTGGCAAAAAACTGCCCAAACCGCTCTGAGCTCCCTTTCAACACTAAAGATGAATCAGCTATGGAGATCAATTGTAGTGAAACTATTCCTGAAGGCAATATCGTGAATCAAAAGTCCAATGAAACTAACAAGGTCATCTTAGCCGACAGCAACATCAAGTCAAAGCGTCCGCTTTCGAATACCTCGCCCAGCGATACAAGTACTTCTCTCTCTATACAGAATGTGCTTAAAAATTCAGGCGCGCCCAAGCAGCCAAAAAAGAAAAAGGCCAAGGTAACTAGTAAAATTGACTTTAAAACTCACCTCGAGCCAGCGCGAAACATGATTGAAAACGATCCAAGTAAATTTCCTATCGAATATGACCAGCTTATAGAATTCCTAGAAAGCACGTACGGCAATGCAAACATTCGTGATACAGCTACCTTGTATACCACTAACACGGACGGTCTGGCTATTATGCTCACTCAAATATATTCAGCGCTAGAAGACAAATATACTAAAAGCAGAATCACTCGTATTCGGAATCTACTCGTCTCTCAACAATTTGATATTAAGCTCACTGCTTCACAAGACGAAAACAGTAGCGTTTATGAAACCGAAGGCCTCAGCGACGACGAGAACTCCCAAAACGAATAAAAAAAATCCTTCTTTCGATATGAATCCAAGCCTAAAAGAATTCACACTTAAGGTATTGTTTTGGAGCTCTCGTAGTATTCTTCAGCGAAAAAACGAACTGCATAAAATACTTCAAAATATAGACATATTTATATGCGTAGAATCGTGGCTCAAACCTGAAAATCGACTTTATCTTTCTGGCTTCAACACTTTTAGAAAAGATCGCACGAACACTCGCGGAGGTGGTATTGTTTACCTCATTAAAAAAAATCTATCTTATAGAGAAATCATTCAGTACACCACACAAAACGATAAGGTGGAAATCACTGGTATTAGAATTCTTAACACGACGCCTAATATTGACATAGTCACTTGCTACCGAATCCCCGGCCTTACACTCTCGCAAATTGAATGGGACGAAATAATTAATCGTGTCAATTCTAATCTACCTCATGCGCTTCTGGTAGGTGACTTTAACGCTCACAATGTCAATTAGAACTGCGAAAAAACAGACAAAAATGGAGAAAGACTTGAGCTTAGCATTGAAGCGAATAACTTATATCTTCACAACCATAACTCGTCAACCCATTTTGACAAAAGATCTGGCAAAAAATCAAATATAGACCTCGTTCTGTTCTCGATTCCGTTCGCAGATAAAATCAATGTTACGGTCTTTGATGAAACATTTGGCTCTGATCACTTCCCTATAACCATCTACATTGATACCATAAGACAAACATATAGCAAAAAAACATTCAAGCTTAAATCAGTAAGGACCAATTGGACCAAATTTAATAACGATCTCTCTGACGATTTTAACAATAAATTTCTATCTTTTGACTATAGTAACCTCACTCCCTCTAACAAATATGACTTCTTCATTTAAGTCATATCGGACAAAATTTAAGAAGTCACGCCCAGAAACAACAAAAAAGCCAAAAGACCATTAAAGAACCCTACTTCGGAGGGCTTCTTTTAAAAAATGGAATTTTTCTCATAAACTCTCAGACTTGATTGAGTATCATAGAAACTGTGCTTCAGCGAAAAAAACGTTTAATCATAAAAAAAGACTGTATTTCAAAACCTTTGCGAAATCTATCAACTTTTCCACTAATAAAACTTATGTTTGGAACAAATGCAAAGTACTAAAAAACTCTTGGTGCAAAACTAATCACAGTTCTGAAAACGACGTGGAGAAATCGCGACAAAAAAGTGTTGTCTGTCTCGAAAAATTAAGTTCACCACATGTGAGCAATAATTCGGACTATTTTCCTTCGTGCCAAGACAATAACTTCTTTGATGAGCCTTTTTCCTTCATGGAACTAAATAGAATATTAGACTCGCGTGGAATCTCAGCTTCCCCTGGCATTGATGGAATAGATTATAAAATTCTCCAAAATTTGCCAATTAAATATAAACTTGAACTCCTCGATATCTTTAATGCGATGTACCGCGTAAGTAACTATCCAGAAGCTTGGAAGCACTCTTTTATTCACATGGTTGAAAAACATGATCGAAACGGTGTGAGACCTATTGCCCTCACATCATGTACTGGCAAACTATTTGAAGCCATGGTTAAAAATAGAATAGAATGGTGGATCGAACATAATAATCTTTTACCGTCATCCCAAGCTGGATTCCGCAAAGGCAGATCGTGCCACGATAATCTAGCACTGTTCAGCTATATAGTCGATGAAGCTCTAGAACGTAAAGATGAAGCGTTAGCCACTTTTCTCGACGTTTCAAATGCATATAACAATGTGCTCCCTGTATTACTCCTCGATAAACTAGCAAAACTCAAATGCTCGGAAAAAGTTATCCAATTTACGAAATTTCTCACTTTTGAAAGATTCTTGCATACTAACATTGAAGGATATGAACAGATTACAGTCAATAAAGGAGTCCCGCAAGGAGGCGTACTGAGCCCATTATTGTACATTATTTATACGTCAGAGATAGCTAATGGTCTTGAGAAAAACGGAATCACCGTACTAGAATTTGCGGACGATATAACAGTCGTAGCAGTATCGTCCTCGGCTTCCGGCTGTCTAAAATCATTAGAAAAAACAAATGAAACTATTCGTCGTAATCTCTTAGCTCTGGGCCTTGTACTTTCTCCTAAAAAGACTGTTTTTGTCCATTTCAATAAAAAGAAAATTATTCCTGGCTCCACCTCTATAAAAATCAACGACTGCAAAATTGTATCTAGCGAATCTGCTCGTTTTTTAGGCATAATATTTGATTATAAAATGGAATTTACTGTTCATATGAATAATTTACTAGCCAAATATTATTCTCTTATGAACATTATAAAATTTCTTTGCGGTACTTGGTGGGGAGCCCACCCTAGCACCCTAATTACACTGTACAAAAGCTTCATTCGATCATCAATTGAGTATGGCAGCTTTATATACTTACCGAAAAAAAAAGAGTCTGTTAAAACATTTGAGCAAATGCAATACCGAGCAATTAGAGCTGCTCTGGGTTTCAGAAAAAGCACTCCTACTAATATACTACTAGCAGAAGCCAAACTCCCTTTGATTCAAGAATGAGCGAAACTTTTAGGTAATAGGTATGTACTAAAAACACTATCCAATAAAAACAATCGTATGTACGAAAACATTATCTATCACGCACCAAATAATAACAAGTCCAAGCGCATTCTATACGAATGCATTAATAGTGTTGCTGTTCTGACTGAATCTCTCGTAATACATGAGTCACTACTTTTTAGCAACAATTATAGCTCTAATTGTATAACTATTCCAATTAATTTTGATTTCGGACAAAAACTAAAAAGCTCCAATAATCCTAACGAATATTTAGAAAATTTTCTAAGAGAAAGCGGCAATCCTATCTCGATATATACCGACGGTAGTAAATTCTCAGACGACAGATTCGTCGGAGCAGCTTGCTTTACACCTGCACTCAATAATAAAATTAATAAGAGTATAGCCAAGGAGGCCTCCATTTTTACAGCTGAAGCAATAGCTTTAAATCTCGCAATGGATGTTGCTCTAGAGGACAAAAAGTCTAACGTTTTTGTTTTCTCCGATTCCCTTAGTGCTCTCCATGCTTTAGCTAGCACTAAAACTGACAATAAAACGAACCCGTATATTATTCAAATCAAACAGAAATATGAAAATTTCAAAAAACTCTTTCCTTTGCGCAATCTTCAATTTCTATGGATCCCTTCTCACAAGGGAATTAATGGAAACGAAAGCGTCGACTATCTAGCTAAAGTAGCCACCAAAAATAACTACGCTCAAATAGATAGGATCCCATATACTGACCTCTATTTTCATGTAAATAAAATGGCCACTGAACGCACTAACGAAACTATGAGAGAACTGGGCAACACCAAAGGAGTTCTGTATTTTAAATTATATTTTAAAGATAAAAAACACCCATGGTTTACGGGAAAAAAGCTGCCCAGGGACCTTATCGTCTCAATCAATAGAGCGAGATCTAACCACTACCACCTAGCTGAATCTCTAGCAAAAATTAAATTTGTCAATAGTCCTCTATGCAAATGCGGCCTTGAACCCGAAAATATAAACCATGTGGTCTGGCAATGTAACAAGTACGATCAACAACGATTTATATTATTAAAAAAACTGTTCAAACTTAAACTCCAACTTCCCATGTGCATCGAAATGTTCATAAGCGAGCCGAATATCAACGTTTGTAAAATTATTTTCGATTACTTAAAAAATTGTAACCTTAGAATCTAAATTAAAATAATGTAATATGTATTATCGTACAAAGCGAAATAATCTTGTATAAGTTTAAAAGCTTTAATAAAAAAAAAAAAAAATATCTTACAGGTTTGGAAGTAGAGCTACCGTCTGTCGGTAAATTAGGGTTGACATTGATCAATGTATTGCGGATATCAACTACGTTCGACCTCTTAGCCGACTTTCTTTTAATAATATCATTAATGTTATCTACTTCCGATGATTCGGAATCATTTAATTCAAGGCTTCTCTTTAACTTAAGCACCTGATTTTCATCATCCTCCTCCATGTGAACAACTGATTCGTATAGTGTATACAAGCTGACAACCTCGGCCATCTTGAATGTAAAAGTGCCTTCCGGCAAGCCGGTGGCTGAGAAAAACGTGAATATTGCATTCAATAGGTCGTGGATTTACAATCAACCTTGTAACCAAAACTCCCTCGAAGGAAGGAAAACCAGGTTAACCACTAAGTGATTAAACCACCCTTCACGATACTCACACAAAGCGACAATTACTCAAGCAAGTAGAAAGCACGACCTCAGCTCCTCCCGAACTCCGTGACTTCGCTAACGAAAAGCTTTTCTGATGATCCATCCGCCATCTAACAGAGTTTCTTGAAATACCCATGCTTATAAAATGCTTATAAAAGATCAAGAATCTTCGTCTGAACACTCTGAACCTTCAACTTTCTGTAATCGACTATATTAGTTGGTGATAATTTGGTGGATGTTATTCTAGGGACCCGAGAGAGATTTTCTCGGGACCCAGTGGGAAAATCTCCTGATTATTTTTAAAACCTTGTAAACACCTTAAAATTAATTAAGGCCGAATAATTTTAAATTAGGTTATATTAGATCTCTCTGTGATCGTCCTCCGATCATATATTTATATATTTAATTTCTTTCTTATTGTTTATATAAAATACATTTTCTTCCTAAAATGTAAGTAATTTTTTCAATAATATACATTTTAAAAAAGTAGTTATTTGGAATAAATATATTGTTTTAAATAATGTCCAAGTCATATACTAAAAAGATTAAAAAAACATTAAAATTATAATTGTATGAATGATAATTATTTTATTTTCTCTAGAAATTTTATTTAGCCAGCATGTTATGTATTATTATTTATGAATTTTGTATTAAAACTTTTGTCCAGTTTAAATGTTCATTTAAATGTTATTTAAATTTTATTAAAGTTCAGAACACTTTTTTTTTATATTTTACATCATGTTATACCTAATTTATATATATATATCTTATGAAAGTCCCTTTGCAACTATGTAGCATCTCAAAATATAAGATGCTCGTTACATGATTTTGCTTTGTGTAAAAATAATATGTAAAAAATATAACAGATTGAATAGCTCATTCGTACACAATTTTGAATATTCAATATAATTCTAAAAAAAAATGTTCTCTGACAATATTTAGGTGTTTATAGTTTAAATAAATCATTATAAGTTAATCTTCATAGTCAATTCCAACCTTTTAAAAATTATTTTTAATTAATCAATTTGATCAATCAAGTTACAATTGAATCAATATTTAACTGATGATTCATGTATTTTTCCATGTTATTTACAACAAAACCAGGCATATAATTTTATATTATGATATACATATTTCATATGATATACATATATATATTTTAATGAATTATATTTTTCATACATACACACACACACAGAATGTAAATTTAAACTTTAGCTATTACATATATGTATGTATATACTTATATAAATTCATGTTTATAACTATAACTTTGAACTTAATAAGACTAGCATACATTTATATTTTATTTATTCTAAATAATTATATATATTATGTCTTTACAGGTTCAACAGTCATTTACAAATTAGAAATAATTCCTTTTGAAGTCATTACATAAGAATATTATAATAACCATATAATATGTCACTGAAGCCAAAAGTAGTAGATTTTGGTCAAACGTGGAATATTTTACAAGAGACAGTTAAAGGAGTCATAACGTTAGCTGATGTCCCTAGAGCAACATGGAACGATAGGTTTAGGCAAGCAATAGGAAAAATAATTATTTTTGTGTATTTAATTATTCAATTTCTTATACGACGAAGTAGAATATACTTTTTATTGATGTTTTCTAATATTTTAACCTTGTGGGCCATACTTTAAAATTGTTGGTTTTTAAGCTGGTAGAATTTAATCTAAATGACTGTTAATTTAATATTCAAAATTAGTCATATGTAAATTCTAACTATAGTGGTCCTGTCAAATACAAACTTTTAAAAACAAATATTATGTATTATGACAATTGAACTTATAGTTTATAATATATATACATATATATATACATACACATACACACATATATATATATTTATATATATAACAACTTATATATATGTGTGTTTGTATACACATATTACTAAATGTGGTTATGTTTACAAACATAATGTGCGTTACATTGCGTTAACTAATATTTTTACATACCATTACACAATTTTTTATCCTTTAAAATTTCCACTCGATATTTTATTTCCTTGTTTTATCATATTTATGAAATAATCAATTTTTAAATATATCTAAGTATAGTTCAAAAAACAAAATTGTATTTGAGTAAGTTTTAAGGATAACCTTTATATATGTAAAAATCCTTTGTATAACAGTTACTAAGGTTATTTATTTTTATTTTTCTATAATCAAGAAATTGATTTTATACAGATTGTTTTTACTTTTATTATTAAAGAAAATATATGCTAAAGTTTGTTCAATAGTAGAACTGCTATGATAATAGTGATGGTTAAAGAATTAGCACTATCAATAAATGAATGTTGACCCCAAATAGGTAAAACATGGACTTTCAGTGGTTACTGTTTACTTGAAAAATAACTTGAGAAAGGTCATTTTAGGTTTTATTCATTAAGAAAGCTAGTTTTTTTTCTTTTTTTATAGGAAATAGTATAAACTCTGTATAAAAGTATATCTAGGAAAAGTGATAGATTATTGTTTTCAATATGTTTAAAGTTCAATTTTTTGTAAAACTAATATTTTTTTAGTTATATCTCTTTTTCATTATATCTGTCTAAGGCTAACAAGTTAATTTTTGTCCATTAAAATATTTTTAGTTGATCAAAAGTTATTGATAAAAATCATTAATCTGCATTATAAAATAGACAATCAATTTTGAAAAACGTTTTCACAATATTTTTAATAAATTTCTTTTTACTAATAGATAGTTTAGATAAAATTCTGATTCTATAATTTGAATAGTTTATAATGTATAAATAAAATTAACTAACTATTAGTCTATACGGTCTTGCATATTAAATAGACTTGTGGTGATTTTTTTACATATAGGCTGTGTTTGTTATTGTTTTATCAAAAACTACGTCCATGTGGAAAGCTCAATGTATAGATTTAATCATATTACTTCTAAATCAAGTGTTATTACAACAACACAAATTGAATTTAATAAAGGTTTAGGAATTTTCATCAACGACAATCTTTAAAAAACATGGTTTGCTTTCTTCAATCGCTTCAGGCGCCATATTGAAACCGCCATTGATTAGGTCGCTAAAAAGGTGTCCTAAAAGTAACCCAATAAATAATGTAGGTAAAAGCTTTATTAAAAAAATGTGAAGGTCATTACTAAAGTATCTTTTTATGAGAAATCTAGTGGTGACTTCATGGATTTGCACATGAACTTGTCCTTCAAAGTCAGTTCAAGGTCAACTTTGTTTTTTAAATGAGAACCCCTATGTTTGACAACTGCAGTCGTAAGAGCGGGAAATTTTACGTTCAAAAATGTACTCAGGTCATAGGTCAAGGTGATCTTGAATCTTTAGTTGAAGGTTATTAAGTTTTGCGTATGGACCTGTTCCGATCTGTACTTTTTGGTTTAAGGTTTTAACAGGTTAACTTTTTTTTAATGGTAACGGTTATTTTTAACAACGACAATCAATAGAGCGCGAAATATTACTCAAACCTGCTATGAATTAACTCGGTAGGCACTCGCGATAGGAAGTCTTGGATTTGCACATGAGTGCGGCCTTGAGAGTGCGATGGAAGCACTCTATGAGGCCATTGCTCTGCGGGTGGTATGGTATGTGTAGATCTTCTGTGTGTCGGTGAGCTGTGCCAGCATATTGAAAAGGGCTGTATCAAACTGGATCGTTTGGTCAGATGTGATGGTGATTGGGCATCCGAACAGGGCGATCCACTCTTTGGTAAAAGCGGTAGTGACGGTCTCAGCTGTAATATCCGAGAGAGGGACGACTACAGGCTAGATAATAAAGCGGTCGATGATTATCAAACAGTGGCGTAAGTTTTCAACTTCCGGAAGCGTGAGAGGTCGATGTGGATCAGCTTAAATCTATTGTCCGGAACGTCGAAAGATTTGAGTATAGCACGGTTGTGCCCTCCGATTTTGGCGCGTTTACATGAGACGCAGGCACGTTGGCAACGTTTATGTGCGGCCAGGTAAACTTGGCTGTCATGAGCCAAGTTGTTACGTGTGGGGTTGAATGGGCTGAGGAGTGCAACACGCCGAAAGCGCTGCGACGTAACGAGCGTGGCAGGTAAGGCCTGACTATATCATTGTGGATGTTGCAGGCGTTGCTAGTGCCGTCGATCTCGAGATGTTGAAGTGTTCTGTTGAACAGGTGCTACAGCTCATCGTCGTCTTGTTGAGCAGCGGCGATGTCGCGTGTCAGGAATCCGGAGGGCATGCCAATCACGCAAGCGCGTGACAAGTTGTCGCGCACAAAGTTTTCTTCTCTCTTTACATGCTAGAAATTGATACTGAATTGAAGTAGGAAGTTGAAGTGTCTCTGCTGTCGTCGAGATGCTTTGTAAGAGGACTATCTGTTCTCCTGCTTTGTAAGACGGCTTGTGGTCCGTCCTCAGCTCAACGTGCGACCCTCAAAGTAGCGTTACAGGTATTTGATTGCTGTGTATGCTGCAAATAGCTCGCTGGCGTTAGTGTGCAGTATCTAGTCTCTATCTCGGTGAGCTCCCTTGAGAAGTAGGCCACCGGGTGGAGAATTCCGTCAACAACCTGCTCAAGGACCGCTCCAATCGCTGTGTCCGAAGCGTCTGTGAAGAGAACAAGCGGTGTGTTGAGCGCGAGAAAGAAGTTAGCCGTGGCGTTACAGAGTCCTTGCTTGCATATGAGGAAGGCCCTTTCGTGTGTTGGTGTCCATTCCGGCAGCTCGGCTTATTTTCGCTTTGGGGCATCTCAAAGTATATCGACCAGCGGTATCTGTAACTGTGCTACATTAGGGATGCACCTGCGGTAATAGTTGACTGAACCGAGAAAACTGCGTATTTTCTGATAGGTTTTGGGTATCGGGATCCCGTCATTGGCGTTCGCCTTTTTAGCAGGTAGTTCGAAACCGCGCTGCAACACTAGATATCCCAGTAAAAACAATTTTCGACTGGGTTATCTGGCATTTGCTGAGGTTGAATTAGAGACCTGCTGCTTGCAGAGCTTCGAAAAGCAGACGCAGGTGCTGGACGTGTTCGTCGATGTACGACTCTGTACACTCTAGGCCTCATAGCGTTGAGTCCAGGAAGCATTAGAAGTTCTGACTGCATTGCGAAGGCCAAGCGGCATCTGTAGAAATTCCAATAAGCTTAACGGGGTGATGACGACGGTTTTAGCTACGTCCTCCTCGGCCATCAGCATCTTCTCCAGATCGATGATAGAGAATACCACGCTGCCATGACATTGATACAGAAGGGCTTCGACGATGGGCAGCGGGTAGCTATCTAACTCTGTGTGAGCATTGAGCCGTCGATAGTCCCCTGATCCGGTAGAATTCGTTATCCTTCTTAATCAGGTGGAGTGGGCTGGCTCATTGACTGGACGATGATCGAGCGATGCCATGGTTGTCGAGCTTCTAGAAGGTAGCTTTGGCGTGCGCCAGTCGCTTTCCGTGCAGCGGTTTTGCACGGTCAAAGACTGGTGCTCCGTTGGTGCGGATGTGGCGCGTGACCACGCTGTCGTGCAATGTTGACGGACATCTGCTTGGTTTGGCCAGATCGGCGTATTCGACGAGCAGGCGGTTGTATTGGCTCCTCGGAGTGGCGTTGTCGCCGTAGGCATAGTGGATGGCCACTGAGTGCTCAGCCGCCGGGCACGCCAGAGCTTGGACACTGAGTGATGTCATTCCATCTACAAGGCGAAGATACTGTAGACCCATCAGCAGGCCTGCGTGGACCAGGAAGTCAGCGGACGCCCACAATGGCGAAAGGCCAGGTCAGGTCACGATGCAGTCCTAGGTTGAGTGTGAGAACGGTACGTCTATATGTTGCGATAGGCAACATGTTTGCCGCAGTGAGGCTGAGCCCCTGCATAGCGAGGGGTTTCGATATTGTACGCGCCGCCGAATGGAACAAGCGAGATAACGGAGCCGAAGTTGATGAGGAAGGCCATCCAGGGTACTTAACCTTCATGTAGAGGCGATTTTCAGTGGCTAATATGCTGCCGTGTGCCTCCTGGATCATCGGTAGCAAACCTAGTTTCCCTGCGCCGGTTGGAACGTACGGGGTTCGGGTTGTAGACACTGTCTGTTTCGAACCTTGACTATTTCTAAGCGGTAGTGATAGCAACACACCGCCTGCTGCTGGCGACGCTAAGCGGTTCCCGAGAGTGCGTCTGCAGCTACAGCTAGTTAATATCACTGGCTGTGGCACCGTGAGACGTAACACAGAGATCTCTTTGATAGGTAGTCACTGCGATGAGGGCGAGAACGGTCCGTTGCACTGCTAGCTCCACTGCGCCGAGAGCATCGGATGCCTTCTGCGCCAAACCAGTTGGCTGGGCAGCCCGTTATAGCCGTTGACGCCATTGTTGCCGTCTTTTTCGTTGCTCCGTACTACAATTTGGGAGACCGCATCTCCGGATCTTAGGTGGAGCCTTATACCTGCCGCGCTTGTCGTGGTGGTCACTCGCAAAATCAAGAATCAAGTTAACCGCGGCAAGCACGTAGAGAGTTACCATATTCAAATTGTTTGATAAAAAACTATTTATAAACGATCGATATGTTAA